TAGACACCTAATTTGTTTCGTACCTACTTTTGATTTCGTTTTTATTGGTTAATTTGGTATATAAAAATATATTTCTTTTCATATTAATAAAGTCGATTTAATTTTTTTAATTACTTTTGTAATTCACAAAGGAAGCAGTAAACTTGGGACTGTAGTAATAAAATCAAATGTATTTCGAAGCATAATATCAATTTACTTGTAATCTATATTAAATAACATAAAACCAAAGCACGCTACAGATTTTACGAGGTAATTCATTAGGCGGGCCAACTTGTAGCGGACCTAATTAGCATCAAACAACTCGGCAGAGGATGCGTAGGTGCGATGTGACATGGTTAGCTATGCCTGATTTTCTATGTACAAATTTATGAGTACTGATCGTTTTTTAGTAAATATTAAGGTCTTTATTTATAAACAGTTGCTTACCTAAATCGGAAAATAACAAAATTAAAGTAATAGAGTATTGTAACATGCTAGCCCAGTGGTAACACGCTCGCTTGGGCAACCGAGTGAAGCGGGTTCAAACCTCGGGTCTCGCACATCTGATATTTTCATGTGCGAATCATTTTCAACATGATTATCCCTTGTGTTACGGTGAAGGAAAACTTCGTGAGGAAACCTGCATGTCTAATATAACCTAACAAGTTATCGAAAGACATGTGAAGTCCGACTATTCATCACCGTAATTTGTAAGTTTGTTTTAATACATGTACATATATGTTTTTAAAATATTCTATCATGCAGTAAGGCGCGAGATGTACATAATCTAATTTATATTCCGAATGTCAAACATTTTTTTAATTATTTGTTTTTTTTTTATTAGAAAGATACACCATCGACTTATCATAATGACATTATAATTATTGTAACATATACATGCAATTCCGTATGATTTTCCTTAACAGGTATATACAGCATTCTACTTACAATTGTTTGCGCGCGATTATAAGTGTTTGTTAATAATGGTTTTTTGTTTGTGCAAGCTTGTTATCAAAGCTTCCAAAGGTAGTAGCAGTTATTATGTGATAAAGGCCTGAGCAAAGCCTGAGATGTTGCTAGGTTCAATAATAAACAAATCAACAATCATCATTAAATATGCCAGCAAGCCCATAGTAATTTAGGTTGCTTTATTTTATATACCTACCCATACTTTATTACTATACAAATTTTCTATGAGCCGATTCGCATTGTAAACTGTTAATAGCAGGTACTTAATTGTTTCATTCAATGTTTATGTATTGCGTATAAATATAAAGTATATAGGCAGAAAGCATAACCAAGAGGTCATTCTAAAATCATTGGAAAATGGAAATCTGTTAATATAATATTATGATTCTATGGTATATCTAACGACTCGAGTTATCAATTCTATACATTTTTTTAAATTTCTGTTCCTCAGCGATTGTAGAATAAGGTCTTGTCTAATCCCTAGTTACTGCATTGATTAAACATACATATATATTATACATATGTATTTATTTGACACTAACGGCTCACCCTCGCTTCGCTCGGGTTCGTCCCTAGCTTGCTTTATAATACAAACTTTCATCCCCATTTTCACTCCCTTAAGGCATGATTTCCGGGATAAAAAGTCCTATGTCCTTCCGAGGGTCTCAAACTACCTTCTTACCAAATTTCATCTAAATCGGTTTAATAGATGCAGAGATTACTCCCTACAAACAAACTCACAAAATTTACCTCTTTATAACATTAGTATAGATTGATAGTTTTATTGATGTTATCTTCCATTGAAAAGAGCAAAATGACAGTACTAAGTTTCAGTTAAATAATAATTACTGCAATATCTGCTTCCTCGAAGAAGTTTCTTGGACCGTTAATTTAAATTTATTTTACTGCTGCAATGAGATAATTAAAAGACGAAACGGGTTTGTTCTTGTAACATACAACATTGAACACGATACGTTAACTTTTCTTATTTTAAGTTCATAACATTAAGAGCAGTGGTAAATATTGTTTTTATGTATTTCATGATGCTATTTTAGATAATTTATTTACGTATACATAATGTTTTACAATAAAATTATCTTGTTTTCTTCTTTGAAAAAACTCTCATATCATCCTAATTTTTTTGTATTCAGCCCTTTTTATCGTCCCACTGCTGGGCACGGGCCTCCCTTCAATACGAGGGGGGATCAGGCCATAGTCCACCACGCTGGCCAAGTGCGGGTTGGCGGACTTCACATATCTTTCGAAAACTTGCTAAGTTCCCTCAGACATGCAGGTTTCCTCACGATGTTTTCCTTCACCGTAAGGCAAGTGGTAATCATGCTAGAAATGATTCGCACATGAAAATATCAGAGGTACGAGACCCGGGATTTGAACCCGCATCATCGGTTTCCCAAGCGAGCGCGTTACCATTGGGCTACCACTGCCTACAAGTCTCTAATTGTCTGTCATTATCTGTCATTATCCTAATACATATAACTACGAGTAAATATTCATATAAAATGTTTTAGGTATAAGAAAGATTTCTTAAATAATATATATGTTACATAATACTGTTTCTTTTTATGCAAAAATAACTACTAACATTTTACTAATACTAACATATTATAATAGAATTTCAATAAAAATATTTTTCACGTACTGGTGAGCGCACTATAATTCTCCATCTTAGCTGCTGCTGTCGCCATTCGAACGTCTGATTTCAATTTAGATTAGGATTTAAACATGCATCAAGAAACCTTATCTAATAAGTACACCTGTTCACTCAAAATATAAAATATATTTCTATTACTGTATGCCAAGATGAAATGGATGAGATAATACAAAATGTATAAAAATCTAATAATCAAAATGTAAGCTAAATCCAAGACTTTGGTTCAGACGAAGTCTTGTTGTTTGGCATTCTTATTTTACTAAATATGCAAATCTACACAGATAAATGAAATTGGAGTGTCTGTTTGTAATGTCAAAATAACAGCTTTTTACTAAATGCATATGGATGTATACACAGCACATATACCAAAACGACATTTTTTACAATTTTTGTCTGTCTGTTTATTCCGACTCTTCTTTTGAATTGGCTGGCCCGATTTTGACGGGACATTTAGTGGCAGATAGCCGATGTAAAAAGAAGTAACTTAGGCTACTTTTATGTAAAAAAAATAGGGTCCACGAAAAAAATTTAAAACCAATGAAAAATTTAATAATATCCGATTCAAATAGGGAAGTTGTATACTTACCCTAGGGAGGAACCCGAGCGAAGCTAGGGTGAGTCGCTAGTGTTATAATATTATGTTATAACTCAGTTTTAAATAAAAAACCGTGATATTAATTATATGTATTAACTATACATATGTTTAGCTTCTTTAAATAATAATTAAAGCACGTAAAAAGGTAAACCGACCTCAGAAGCACTATAAATGTAATTATTCCACTTTTAAAGGAGAGTTTATTATTGGAATTTTTATAATAACATACTCATTAAAAAGGGCATCATAAAAACCGGTTCCCAATAATTAATATATATGTATGTGTATACATTTTACCTTGTAGTTGCACCTAAGTACATGGATGTAAATAAAATAATATTTTTTTTAAACTAAAAAACGAAAACTGACTTCAAATTCTATTTTATAACTTATTATACCATTGTTGCATATATAATTATATTTATTTAAAACAAAAACAAATCTATCTCACGGGAATCATATATTTTAGGGGATAAAAAGCCTATATGCTATTCCAGACTATAGTCCATCTCCATGCCAAACATCCGTTCCGTTCCGTTGAGCCGTTCTAGCGTGATTTAGTAACAAAAATCCAAACATTCATCTAAACTTTCACATTTATAATATTAGTAAGATTATTCCATCTATAGAAATAGTTTTTTAATTATTCATGAAAAAAATATTATGAAAACAAATACACAATTAAAATAAAACAAACAATCGAATTCATTAGGTACGTACTTCCTCTTATTTACAATTTTAAAAACAGGCTGATTAAAAGCCGATTTTACGAACAAATATGTTTTATTTTTCTGTACCTACATATATAAAGTTCGTCGAAATGCCTTACTTGACTCATAAAATGACTTGAGGCGTAGGTAGACCTAGGAGTATGTTGACGTAGAATGTTAAGTTAGGTAAATTTTTAGGTTACCAAATACCGTTTTTAATTGTTTTTTTTTGATATCCGTATGGATATCCGATTTGATATATTTTTTGAATTCCGATATTTCGGCAAACGCCATGGTCACGGAACCACTAATCTAATGGATATGGTAAATCTATATAAATAATAATGAATATTTATTAGTATGTTTATACGTTATGCGTTCCTAACCCGATCGTCCGATTGTGATGAAAAGATGAATTACACTGCGTACGCCCGCAAAGATTCCAAGCTCAAAAAAAAAGAAATAAATGTATCTCTAATTGCTCTTAAACCATTCATCCCTAGAGACGCACACGAGCGCAGAAAGGTTAAGTCGCTAGTATCATATAAAATAATGTCAATGACCGTAAGCCTCAAGACTTACTACGCTTTCTCACTCCTATACTCGTACATCAAATAGTTCCCCTGTATCCCATATATAGTCTGGGTATCCATACTCATATTATTAATGTGAAAGTGTGTTTGTTTGTTTATCCTTCTTTCACATCGCAACGGAGTGACGGCTTGGCGTGATTTTTTGTGTGAAGAAAGTCGAAGGCTGGAGAGTAACATAGGCTACTCTTTGTGCAGGACATTATCTTATTCCCACGGGAAACCACATTATAAGAGAACCCTAAAAAATATTTATGATCAGAATAAGTTGAAATTTAGTATTAATGCTCTTCAATACAATTGAATAAATATGTGTTTTAACATTTTTCAAAATTCATCCCATAAGGGGATAAAACAGAAATGAGAGTTTGTATGAAACCTACCTACTTTTTAGAGTTCTTTTTGTAGTTTAGCGCAAGCGAAGCCGCGGGTTCTGCTAGTTTATTATAAGTCTAATAAGTGTGGGTGTAAGCGTCATCACTAACCTCTGATAATTGTGTTGTTGGTTGTGCATCAAAGGCTGCGTGGGCTGCGCTAGTAGGAGCTGCTTCTGTTGTTGCTGCCTCTGCAACATTTGTTTACCGAACACGCCGTATCCAAATCCATATATCTCATCCTCTTCCTTGTCAGTTAGACAGCTTGAAGGCTGGAACAAATAGAATGTTTTATTGGACTGAAAGTGTAAATATATTGAAAACTTGAAAACTCCCTTTTGTCTGCGGCTTCCGCTTTCTTTTTTATATAAAATAAGTTTACATATCATTTTTCTTAAAAAAAACGCAATTTATATTAAGGTTGGTATAAGATGGAGGAATTATTAAAAGATTATTTATATTAAGACCTTTAATAAATTAAAAGAATATAAGTATACGTATATATAATGTATGTATGTATCTATGTATGTTTGTATATGTGTATATTTATATTATAATTGATGTTTGTAGTTTGTACCTACACCGCACCTCATTATTACTATTGTATATCATTATAACTATTGTATTATATGTATATTTTTTGTGGTACATAAATAAATATAACAGTAGGTAAAGTTTACATTCTAAATCGTTTAAAATCCATACTAATATTATAAATGTGAAAGTGTGTTTGTTTGTCTTTCTTTGACGTCGAAACGGAGTGACGGATTGACGTGATTTTTTGTGTGGAGATAGTTGGAGGGCTGGAAAATGACATAGGCTACCTTTTACCGCGAGAGATAATATTATTCCCACGTAACAATACAACCTAAAAATTAATTATAATCAGAATTACGTGAAACTTAGTATTAATGCTCTTCAATACAATTAAGTAAATACATACGTGTTTTAGCATTTTTCGAAATTTATAAAAAGGGGGATGAAAATTTGTAAAAAAAAGGACGAAACTTTGTATGAAACTAACTTTTTTAGAGGTTTTCTGTAGTTTTTGCGCGAGCGAAGCCGTGGGTTCTGCTAGTATACCATAAATTAAAGAAGAACATTTTTATAACGTTTAATTTACAATGCTGTTATTGTATCAAAATTATTACACTATAAAATGAAGGTGACACAAGATGTAAACACTGAAGTAATCATAAATTTAGATAGTTTACCAAAAATATGGATAACTATTATTAAAATAGAAATTATTTGTCTAAAATGAGTATGTAAATAGCGCTAAAAATACATTTATATTTATTAAGCATATTGTAAACGTTTCGAGTCGATAGCAAAGGTTAGAATAGGTCAATTTCTCGACTTGATAAACTAAATAATTGATCGACACATTTTAAAACTTGATTATAATATTGTTTAATAACAAAAACTTGTTATTAACATAATTTTACTTACCGAATATTTACCAGGCACATAAATCGGTTGAGAGTGGGATGTTGTCAAGTTGGTCAAGGCTAACGTTCCGGGACTTGCTGAAGGAGGTGTCTGTGGAGTACCAGTACCTCCAAGAACTCTCATTCTTGGAGACATTTCATCCCATTCATGTCTTCGTAGTTCTTCAAGATGGTCCAAAACGTCACCGTAGTGTGTAGAGAACAAGTCCGCATAGCGTGACGCCAAGCCTTCTAGGTAGCCACGATCTCCATCCTAAGAATAAATCAATAAATTAATATAATAGACCGAGTCATGGGTCACTTACTATGAATATAATTTTTGGTTCAACAAAATAAACATTATTAGTTAACATGGATAAAGGACCCAAAAAAACTTAAGTACAATAATTAAATATTTACTTCATTGTCTACATACTTGTACAATATACATATATTTGAATTATTTTTTTATTTTATTTATTTTATTTTATTTATTTTGTTTTATTTATTTATACTATATTATAATGGCTGTTCCAAATTTTAGTATTACCAATAATTTGAATAACAACTCTGATAATCATAATCACTCGCGGGATAGCGAGTTTCAATCCCGCGGGTAATGAACTAATATTTTAAAATCAAAAGTTCATGAGTGAGTTTGTAACTGTTTCACGCTGCAAAAATTCATAATATTGAGAGCTTATATCCAAAGCCGCGATCTAAAACTAGTGCATCATACAGTTATTTCTAAACCAGTTAAAATAAGTCATGTCGACTTTCCTAAATCAATAAGAATCGCCAGTCAGAAAAGAAAATTGTATACTGTAATCTCAAATTCATAAAATTCTACGTTAACAATGCCGCGATACATACATATATAGCATAAATTATAATGATTCTTGTAAACAATTAAACACATTTATATACGACGACGGTAAAAACTTGTCATTCCATCCAAAGAGCCCATAAAAAATTAGAAGTACGTACTATTACGGGTTTTAAAAGTTACATTCTGCTAATTACATTGCCTATTAAAGCCTCAACTCGGGTAAAGTATAAAAAACCGTAATTATCTGGCGCCTAGAGACCTATTGGCTTGGAGGTCGCTTCCTTCCACGCAATTTCCGCCAAACCCCGAAAAGAAAAAAAAACAAGCAAGTAATACTGAACAATTAAATACTGCGGGTCTAAATTATAGAAGGAAATTTAAATTAGCCATGCCAAAAAGATTTCTTAAATGGGGGTAATTAATTAAAACTTTTATTAGGGCGGGTGGCGCAAGTAAGATGTTAGCTTGAGTTAAATATTTACATATGCGAAATATTTTGTTTGTTAAATTAAAGGTACTTCATAAAAATTACCTGCATAATTATTTTAGAAATTAGTATGTTATACAATTAGTGGATCAGAAAATGTAAAGGAATAAGTCAACCGGCTGGCATATTCGATCAGAGGTCGCATGTTCAAATCTCATATAAATGTTTGTTCAATCGCCGCGTTCGAGACTACAAACCCACGGATTTGTCTGGCAAAACGCGATATCAATTTTGAGTATAAAATGTTTAAATGGAAAATATTTGATACTTGATGCAATAAATACTTAATCTAAAATCAATAAATAATATATGGATGCATCATGCAATACGGATAAATTTACAACCCTATGAATGCAGAGTTTTTTATTTATCAACAGCTATTTTTATTACTACAACCTGAAAATAGAAGAAAAAAATTAAAGAAAACACTTTAATGCATATATAATATGATCTCTTCACAACTTTGCTAAGAGACATTTAAAAAAGATTAGCATTCCCTGCGCAATTTCAGACGATAAATATTATCTTAACGGAACTACACGAGTTATTTAAACAAGACGATGTTGGCACACGGAATCGAAGTTAATAGCACGAAGCAAGTTTAATCGACAACCATGGACCAGGAAAGAAAATAAACGAAACGCCCACCTCAGTAACCAAAGTACTTCATTACGACCTGCAACCAAATATATAGACCTCCGGCGAGATTTCTCCATCTTCTTAAGCAAACACAGGGTATAGTAAGATTTTATATCTTACGCCAACTTTAGCGGTGTTACATACCTGATATGAGCGTCGAAATATGAATTTCTAAAACAAAATAAAAATATTCTGTTCATATAACCACACTTTCTTGGCGAAGTAACAATTTGTTAGAAAATATATTGGCAAGCTTCTCGTTCAGTCATTGTGAAAATATGGAAGGAGATTAAGTGCACCACAATAAAGGCAGTACTCTCATGCCAAATATCTAGAATGGACAATAAATATAAATAAAGTGAAATCAATCAATACACTTAAAGCGTAATCTATATAGCTAAATGAAGATGGCTTAGAACTTTAGACATCGAACAGGATGCTATCCATCAATCCAAAAAAGAATCTGTAGCTAGCCACTGGAGAGACGTACTTAGAATTCAACCAGTCGCGCGTCGAGTCAAAGATGGCCGAGGGTTTATTTCCATTTTTAAATGAGAGCGGCTGAGAGCTTTGTCGGCTCCGAGTTTGTGCTTCGCGTTTTAAGTGGATTAAATCGCTCTACGCTCGTAAAACCGACAAGTGGTTCAGCTAAGAATTCAAGTAACCGTTCGACTTTTGCATGAGAAAGTGCTCGCGGGGCCCGCTTCGCACTTACTGTGCGCAATTTGATGCGACCAGAGTTTGTTTATTTTTTTTCTACCGTGGAAATCGTGGCCGATTCACATCTAAGCGGGTTGCCGTTGCTTTGTGAATACTCAATGAAAGAAATTCATTACCGCTATCTCCCAATGAAGCTCTTTCGGGATTAACAGCTTGTCTGATCTTAAAGGATTATGTTATTTACGCTTAATTGTGAAACATTTAATGAGGTTTGCTTTGTATACTTTTTGCTTTATTCATTATAATGATAGAAACAACAATTTTATGAGACACCAAATGTTTTAAGATAAAACTGTCTTTTAAAATCTTGGAATTTTACAAAATGTACAATATACAGCTAGATGCAGGAAAATTATTATTATATAAAGTAATCTTACATACTAGTATAGTATTGATCCTTGTACATTTTTTCAATCTTGTAAGTGGATGACATAGTCCATTTTGAAATATATCGTAATCATCGTGTCTCGAGCAACAATGAAGTATTGCTCTTTAGGGAGATATACGTCACATAAATTCTTTTCAGTATCTATAAGCGATTTTCAAAACAAAAATATTCACATGTTTTTTTTAAACAGTTAATTAGTGCAAATAATATAATATATACTTTTAACTAGCATTGCCCGCGGCTCCGCCCGCGTACAGACGACCAAAAACCAAATTATTAGGTTTTACATATTAGTATACTCTTACATTGCAATTTTTGTATTTTTTCTCAGAAATGAGACATTTTCCCGCGGTAAAAAGTATGCTATATTCCGTGATGCGGTAACAGACAGACAAACAAAAATTCTAAAAACTATAGATTCGGCCTCTGTATCGATAATAATGTATATTTCAATAAGATTTTCCAAAAAATATTTAATGTACAGATTTGGCTTAGTTACAATTTTATTATATGTATAGATGTGGTAAGTTATAATCAAAAATGCTTTTGATTCGTTTTTATTCACATAAGTAGCACGATGATAATACAAATCTCAGAATATTATGTAAATTCGCAAACATTATTCATTTCCTATTTGAATCAACGGCAAGAATAGTACACATGAATGAAACTGAGTTAGATTTAACGAAATAAGGGGCAGGTGATACCGCACATAAATCCTCTTTGGACGTCGCCTTTGCCCGGCACGCGGAACATTGTCTTATTGTGCTACCGTTTCTTGTTTTGTTCGTCGACTGCGTTATTTCGGATTTGCCATCTCTTTATAGGACCAATTCGTCCGCGACTGCGATATAATCGTTTAATTTTATACTTATTTCTGTGCACTTGCACTATTGAAGCTATGAAAACAACCCTTTCATTGTTTTTAATTTTGTACAATATTGTAGTGCTGATTTTTAATATTGATACAGTAAACGAACATCAAAAATAACTTATTAAATTCATGAACTTTCCATTTTATGTTAATACTGTGTAATGTACCGTGTATAATAATATATTTGGATAGATTTGATATATAAAAATTTGGTTAATTCTTCTTATTTCCAGTGTTCCTATTTCCTACAGAATAAATATTATCTTAACGCATTCCTAAGATTTTTATATGATGTATGTAAATAAACTTTTTTAAGCAAACAAAAAGGAACAAATTTAAGGGTAGGTAGTTTCGAATATATTTATTAAGTTCTAAAATCGTTTTCTTAGTTCTTATGCTGTTTCACACTGATTTTTTTAGCTTGGTATTATCTTGATATGATTTGCGATTTCGCATTGTAAAGTCTGTCAGCTCATAATAATTCAGGCACGAGAGTGTGATTATAGCTGTATTTCAATTAATTACAGTATAATCAACTATTTCTTTTTATATCAGTCACGCAATAAATACTTTTACTTGCCTTTCATTAATTCAATGCCATTTTATTTATAAACATTATTGTCTCTTCATATATTCAATCAAAGTATTAAAATTATTATCACACAGCATATAAAGGTTCTCATGGTTATAAGAATATTTTTAGGTGCATTATGAATCTTAACCCGTATAAAATAAGAAACAATTTTAATTGGATTAGTCAAAACAAATCATTATGGCTATCGAGGGCATCGAACGCATCGAATCTGAAGGCATACGAACTGTTAATAATAAAGGGACAATGTCAACTGTTGTATTTTGTAAAAACCGGATTGTCAGAATATTTTATCATATCATACTTTGAATCTTTTTGTCCCACTTACTGATAATATGTAAGATGTAAAGCATGTACTATACAATATATAAAACAAGTTGCACTAAAATATGAAATTTTCTCATTTATTTTTGTAACATGTAAATTATTTTATAAATAATAGTAATAATATGTGCTATTTTGACTGCAAATTTTAATAGCAAAACATAATTTATTATATTATATTGAATATCCATGAAAATGATGATTTGACTTGGAATCTTATACACAAACTGCTTTCACATCATGAAATCTTATAATGACTCACGTGCATAAGAATGCAGCATCGTTATCATCTTATAGGTTAGCGGTACTTTTATTAAACATAAATAATAATTATAACTTCACATATTTTACCTTTAATAAAAAGGAAGGTTCAGAAGAGATCAACGTATTATTCAATTCTATGTAAAAGTCGATCCAAACG